CTGGGAGGACAGTGGAAGACAGCCCAAGTGCTTGGGGCACTGTACCCATGTGGGAGGCCAGGAAGAAGCTCCTGGCTTCTGGCTTCAGATCAGCCCAGCTCCAGCCATTGTGGCCATTTGGGGAGTGAACCAGCAAGCAGAGGAACTCCCTCTCTTTCTCAATCTCTCTCTCTCTCTCTCTCTCTCTCTCTCTGCCTCTATTTCTCTGTAACTCTGCCTTTTGAATAAATAAATAAATCTTTAAAAAAATAAACAAATAAATAAAAATATTCCTCATGACTGTTGAGTTGTGACACAGTGGGTAAAGCCACCACCTGCAACACTGGAATCCCATATGGGTATAGGTTGCAGTCCTGACTGCTCCACTTAAGATCCTGTTCCCTGCTAATGTGCTCGGGAAAGCCGTGGAAGATGGCCCAAGTGCTTGGGACCCTGCACCCACATAAGAGACATGAAGAAGCCCCTAGCTCCTTGCTTTGGACTGATTCAGCCCCAGCCATTGAAGTTATTTGGGAAGTGAACCAGCAGATGGAAGAAATAGGCATGCATGCATGTTTCTCTCTCTCTCTCTCTCACTTCCAATCTCTCTCTGTGTAACTGTACCTTTCAAATAAATAAGAAATAAATCTTTAAAAAAAAATAATTCTTCAAAGAAGTACATTAACACCTAGGAGGAGGGGCCGGCACCGTGGCTCACTTGGTTAATCCTCCGCCTGCAGCACCGGCATCCCATATGGGCGCCGGGTTCTAGTCCCGGTTGCTCTCTTCCAGTCCAGCTCGGTGGCCCAGGAAGGCAGTGGAGGATGGCCCAAGTGCTTGGGCCCTGCACCCACATGGGAGACCAGGAGGAAGCACCTGGTTCCTGGCTTCGGATCAGCGCAGCACTGACCATAACAGCCATTTGGGGGGTGAACCAACGGAAGGAAGACCTTTCTCTCTGTCTCTCTCCCTCACTGTCTAACTCTATATGTCAAATAAATAAAAAAAGAAAAATTAAAACCTATGAGGATAGTTATTCACTAATAAGGAAAGACATGTGACTCTCACCAGATTTCAAGAGCAGCTCAACTAAAATACCTGGCACGATGACTGCCAACTTTGCTTCACTTATGAGTAAGTGAAATTTTTCATATTGACATAAGAAAATTTTCCCATGTTGAGTAAAGAACACTGTCTTTTCTCTATCATTTTTTCCATGATGACCTTCTGACATACTCAAAATATTTATATCAAAATAGACAGAGATACATAGATTACTATTACAAGGACTTAAAAATCTTAATATAGTTTGCTTCAAGAAATCATCCTTTTAGCCATTTAAACAAGCAAGAAGAGACATTTCAACCATATGTAGAGAATTTTTTCACTAATGATGTTTTAAGAAGGCACTTTAATAGTGTAAGTTATTAATTGTAAGGCTGATAATGGAATTCTCAAAATAGATTATATTTCAGAATCAGGATTTAACATGACAAGTTTATGCCTTATACTAAGTGTATAAATGGCTACATAACAATAAATGATTATTTACATATTCTCAAACTTTCTAGGCCAAATAATAAGCTTCTAACTCCTGATAGTTACTATAAATGCATTCACTAATAAGATATATATTATTTATTCTTTCATAATTTTTCTAATCATAAATATCACCTTACAGAATGTTTTCTTGAAGTTATCACTTAAATATATTATTGTTCAATAACTAAGAAATCACTAGCAAATTCTTCTGTAAAGCAAAGAAACAGTCTGATTCAATTAAATATTTTTGTGTTCATTCTGTATTAATCAAAATAGCAAGTGAGAGGGCCGCAAAGATGAAACTCTGCATAGCGACAGACATTAGGGTTGGTGGGGATCTATTAAAACAACAACATTATTCTCATGGAAATGAGTGATGCTCTTACTCTGTGGTCTCAATCCTGACTGCACAGTTGAATCATCTGCAGAATTTAAAAAAAATAGTACCAGTGACCTGTCTATGTCACATCCCTTCTGCTAAGCACCCCAGGAAAATTTGGTTCATTTGTTTACTTGGTATTAATATTTTTTTAAATGACTCTCAGCTCATTCTAGTGTAACCAAGATTGAAAACTAGGCTTATTTTATATGAGGCCAGTCTAAATGAAAAAAAATTATATAACATACACACACATATTGAAAGCCATGTTCTTTTCCCTATTTCTGTCTTCTCCTATAGGCCTCAAATCCTTGTTGTCAGTCTTAGAGAAAGAGAAGAGAGCCAGGATCTTATAGAGAACGTGTACAATTTTAGGTAGAAACATAGAAGATACAGAGGAAAGTGGAAATAGTGTACCCATCTGGTAGGGAAAAAAATGCCCACATAGGACTATATGTTTCTGATAAATGACTGCATTTTCCACATTTTATTATACTACCTGAGATGGCATCATTTGCATACTCAATTGTCTCAAAAATTTTCTTATTAAAAAAATTACAATGCTCCAGAAACACTACTTTCCCTATAAGTCTGTTTGGTAAGATCATTGTTCTTGCTAATAACAGGACAACACCTGGTGAATTTAAGGAACCAATGTTCTGATGGTAGAGGTGTGAAGATGAATAATTCTTAAAGAATGAAACACTTTGGGAAGATAAACCTAAGAGACACAAGAATATTAAGTGCTCAAAAAGTTAAGTCAGAAAAAAGAAAAATAAATAGAAATAGAACCACCTTGACTAAATGACCTTTAAGATTCCATCCAACTCTGAGATTTTAAGATTCTAGGAAAATGCCAAAGATAAACATTTCCTCCTCTTTTCCTTTCCTATTCAAGAGTTCCCCACTCCAGGCCGCTGCTGTGGCACATCAGGTTAAAGGCCCGGCCTGCAGCAAGGGCATCCAATGTGGGCTTTGGTTCAAGTCCCAGTTGCTCTACTTCCAATCCAGCTCCCTGCAGATGCACCTGGGAAAGCAGGGGAGGATGGTCAAGTGCTTGGGCCCCTGCACCCACTTGGGAGACCTGGAAGAAGCTTCTGACTCCTGGCTTCGGATCAGCTTAGCTACAGCAGTTGCAGCCATTTGGGGAGCAAACCAGCGGATGGAAGACCTTTCACTGTCTCTTCCTCTCTCTGTCTATAATTCTACCTCTCAAATAAAATCTTTAATTAAAAATAGTAAGAATTTGGTCACAACAGTAAATGCTTCCACTATAAACAAAAACTGCACAGAATTTTAAAAACTGCCTCTTGAAATGCCCACATCCCACACAGGAGTGCCTGGTTAGAGTACTGTCTACTGTAAGCTTCCAAACCAGCTTCCTGCTAATGTGTCTGGGAGGCAGTAGATGATGGCCCCAGTACATGGATTTCTGCCACCCACCTGAGAGATCCAGTTAGAGGTTCTGTCTTCTGGCTCTGACCTGACTTATCCCTAGCCTGTTGTGAGCATTTGAGGAGTGAACCAGCAGTTAGATAGAAGTTCTTTTTTTTTTTTTTTTTTTTTCACAGCTAAAGTTAGAAAGTGAGAAAGAGAGACAGAAAGAAAGGTCCTCCTTCCGTTGGTTCACCCCAAATGCCCACCACAGCTGGAGCTGCGCCAATCCAAAGCCAGGAGCCAGGTACCTCCTCCTGGTCTCCCATGTGGGTGCAGGGGCCCAAGCACTTGGGCCATCCTCCATTGCCCTCCCGGGCCACAGCAGAGAGCTGGCCTGGAAGAGGAGCAATCGGGACTAGAACACGGCACCCATATGGGATGCCAGCACCACAGGCGGAGGATTAACCAAGTGAGCCACGGTGCCGGCCCCTCTCTCTCTCACTCTTTCAAATAAGTAAATAAATCCTCTAATACTCATATATGACATTAGTAGGAGTTCCAGATAAGTAGAATTCCAAGGCACCCAAAAATCAGTAAACATAAGAAGAAAAATTTTAAATGTCATCTCTGTGAGATCAAAATGAAATGCAAACACTGGATTAAAAATACTACTACTAATAATAAAGGGGGCACCAGAAGACAGACTTTTAATTTCAGAGGATTAACTAAAATTACATGGACCAAATGAAAAGAAAAACATAGGTCTCTAAAGATCTTTAATGCTCAAAGGGTCTTTAAATCTATAAAGGTCCTTTTAGGTGTGAGTGTTTGGCACAGGGGTTAAGCCACCTCACTTAAGGAGCCCGGGAAGCCTACATCCCCTAGTGGATTGCCCAGCTCCACCACTTCTGATCTGCCTACTAATGCACACCCTGGGAGACAGCATATGATGGCGAAAGTTCTTGGGACCCTGACACTAATGCGAAAGACCCACATTGAATCTCAGGTTCCTGGCTTCCAGTCCCTTCCTGCCCAGTCCCAACTGCTATGGGCTCCTGGGGAGTGAACCTGTGGATGGAAGCTATCTCTCTTCCTTCCAAACAAAATGAAAATAAATAAATAAATAAATTTTAAAGACTCAAAAAAAGGTCCTTCAACATTTAGCTCAGATGCCACTTCTCTCATTAAAGTTTTCTCTCCTGATCCCTCCAGAGTACCGTGTATTGCTTATCTGGCACTTACATTCCCAACATGCATCACAGACACTTGTGTATGTACCTTATTCCGTCTAGGAACTTAAACTATTCCAGAAGAAGCTAATAAGTTCCTCATCTCAGTACTGTATTCCTTTACTGCACTCAGAAGGCATACTTGGTGCAAATCACCAAAATACCAAACCAGCAAGCTCAGGGATCTTGGGGACTCATTAATTCCTTGAAATAGAATTGTTTTTTAAATATAAATAATTTACAATTAATGTTACTCTGCTGCCCAGGAGGAAGAAAAAAGGAAAATTAGGATATGTTGCTTTAGAGTAGGCAGAAGGTTTAGAAAATTCGTAAACAATAATGACAAATTCAGCACTTAGGAAAATAAAAAAACGAATCTCTTACTTGGAAGCGATTTTAACAACAATAATCAAATGAACAATCCTTATCTAACTGCACTTTAACCTTTTCTAGCTCAATGTACTGTTTGCTTAAGGCATCAAAGGCAATTTTACTTGTGAAAATTTTCATCAGTTTCCTCCAGATGTAAGAGGATCTCCTCGGCGCACTCTAGGGACGGAGCACCCGTGATTTTCTCCTTCACGCTCAGGAACAACTGCCTCAGCATGGCCTGCAGCATCGCCTCGTCTTCGCTGGAGAAATGCGCCATCCTCTGTTGGAATCAAACGTCCACAGCCATTACTTTGGGTCCCTGCAAATACCGCGCACTGCGCACGCGCAACCCCACCCAGCTCCGGCCCGCGCTCGGCGTCGTTTCCTAGGAGACCAAGGCACGCGCTTGAGCGGGCTCCCTCCCCGGTCCGAGCGTCTTTCAGGAAAGCAAGTCGCCTTACTTCTGAGGAACCGCGAGCTCCTGAGGCCCCGCCTTTAGTACTCGTCGTTGCCAGCCTGCAGTGCCAACTGAGCTCAGGCTGCCTCGACGAATAGCAAACAACTCGTCCAGAAAGGCTCTGCTGGGCGGGCCTACGGCGGAACGTCAGTGCGGCGCGTGACGTCCGCTCGTTGACGTGGCATCCTGCGGCGGGGGAGCGCCCTCTACGATGACCTAACCGGGCTGTGGAGAAAGTTAAGGTGCGCTCCCTGAGGCGCTGTATGTGAAAGGGACAGTACGCAAAGAGAAAGGGGTGTACGTAAAGAAGATAATAGAAGTGAAACAAAGTAGTAGCCTGATTGCAGTGGAAGAGAGTGGTGTCGATGTGTCGCAGTTCTGCGTTTCTAATAATGGTTAACACTCGTTGAGCTTCTAAACCCTTTTAACGAGACCTCGCGAGGAGCTTTGAAGGCGATTTCTTCATAATTAGCGAGAGGAAAGTGAACAATTACAATACAGTGCCATTAAGTGCTGTTCTAGAGATAAGATGCCATGTAATTTCTGTGGAAGTTTATAATTTCGTTTTAACCTAATTCAGGAGTTGAAAGAAATGAGGAGAGGCATTTAAAGGATAGGGGACTGAGAGTGTTAGGTATTCTGGGCACTTGGATTAATAGGGCTAAAATTGGTCGCATCTGGAAGAATCTAATTTAGTGTATTTTAAGGGAGCAGAATACTGACCCTGCAAGTTATAGGACTTGGATTCCAGAGAGACACCGTGAGATGTATATAAGATCACTCTGCAGGGACTGGCCACTGTGGCAGAGAATTGAGCTGTCATCCTATATGAGCGCCCATTGGAGTTCTACTCCTCTGAACCAGCCGCTGCCACCCTTGTGGGAGACCCAGATTGAGTCAGGCTCCTGGCCCTTGTGGCTATTTGAGGAGTGAACCGTAGATGGAAGACATCTCTGTCTGTCCGTGTCTCTGTCACTTTGTCTTTCAAATAAATAAATCTTTAGCCAAAAAAAAAAAAAAAATTCACTGCAAAAAAGTTGCGATGGATAACCATGGCAACTCATCCAGTTTCCAATCTAGATAAATCCCCAGGCCATGACACGTCCATACTACAAGGTGCCATCCCAGCAGAATATTAGGATCAATTGTTGGTATCTACAGAATAGTCAACCTCAACCCACTGATAAGTGCTTCCACATCTGGATATCCTATGTTACATGTTGCCTAGTGTCAGATACATTTTACATTATCCAAGATCAATTACTACTTTGATGTTTATATTATCACATTTAGAAACAAAAGTACCAGTGTATTTTTGGCAGCTACAGCAGCATGTTTCTTTGTTAAATGTATACCTAATCTTTGTTTCATTACTGCATTTAGAGGGAAAATACATTAGCACAGTGAGCATTTTGTGTGTGATGACATAAGATCGGATAAATGTGTATTTGTGTGTACATATATAAAGTCATCAATAATTGACAAGTACATAGATTGAACACAGGAAATGTATTGGCAACTCAAACACCAAGATTAAGATAGTCATTAGTAATGTAATTTTCTTAAATAGTGTTTTTATTTTAAAAAACTTTATCAAATGTTACTTTAAATATACTTCAAAATTTTTGTTTTTTATGTAAGGGACACAGAGGGAGAGAGAAGAGAGAGTGATCTCCCATCTGCTGGTTTACTCCCCAAAAGCCCAAAGTGCTGGGCCTAAACTACAGCCAGAACTAGGAACTGGGAACTCAATCTAGATCTCACACATGAATGTCAGGGACTCAACTACTTGAGCTGTCACAGACGCTTCCCAGGGCTTTTATTGACAGAAAGGTGGAGTAAGGAGCCAGAACTGGGAATCCAATCCAGGCATTCTGATATGAGATATGGTTATGTTAACTCTAGACCAAACACCCACACCCATATATTATTTTTATATAAATAATTAATTCACAGATTCAGATACCTAACAGAATTTTCCTCTACCTGAAGAGCCAGAAGAATCACTAAAATTCTTATAGAAACCTGAACAGTTCTTATGTGTGGATTATTGTCTTGTTTGTCTTTTAAGATGTTTAAACATGAAGCCAGGCTGGTTTTTTTTTTTTTTTTTTTTTTTTTTTTTTTTTTTTTTTTTTTTTTGACAGAGTTATAGACAGTGAGAGAAAGACAGAGAGAAAGGTCTTCGTTCTGTTGGTTCACTCCCCAAATGGCCGCCACAGCCGGCACTGTGCGGATCCGAAGCCAGTGCCGAATACTTTTTTTACCAGTGACCGAAAACTATTTTCCGTGTAAGCTAAAATGCACAAAGATCTGCTTCAAAGCACTGCAGTTAAAATAGGAAATACACAGACAGCCATTTGAAACATCTATACAATGGTAACACACAGCCATTAATGAATATGTAGCCACATAGCTAAAATAGAAGTAAATAGACAGCTGTAAAAACACAGTCCACAGTGCACTTCTGTATGTTATCCCAAACATCCATAGTTCAGACCTGGAAGTCCCATGTTTCTTATTCACGGATTTTCTCAGAACAGAAAACTGCCATCAGAACACCAGGGGACCCTCTGCGTCATAACTGGAAGAACTCGAGCCATTCCCCATCTGTTGGTTCATACAACTGGACCCTCTGCTACCTACGAAAGGCAGCGTCGTTCAAGCGAAAGGGCAGTCATTCCAGGTTTGCTCTTTATCTGAGTCCTGGCTTCTCAGCCCTGCAGCCAGTTTAAGGGCAAGATGAACCGAGCAGGAATCATTAGCAAAGCCACCCAAACCTCTGCCGTTCCTCCCATCAGTGCTGCCTTGTGCACACTCAGAGCGTTTAGACACAGCAGGTTTCAGAAAAGGCAGTTCAGGGGGGAGGGCTAATGCCCAGCCCACTCCCTCGTAAACACATCTATCAGCGTGAGCTTTGCGCAGTGCCGGGACTGCCTCTGGAGCCTACCTGAAGGTTTGGGGTTCCGCGGCTTCTTCTCTTGTGCATACAGAGCATTCATCAGGTGTCCTTCTCTCGGGCTCTGGGCCTGGCATTGAGGGCCAGGGAGCCCGCATAGGGAAAAAGTCCCCCGTACATCGACTCCTCACCACAGCCAAACGTCCAGTGAAATTCCTGAATCAAGGCAGTAGAAGATGGCCCAGGTCCTTGGGCCCCTGTACCCACATGGGAGACCCGGAAGAGGCTCCTGGCTCCTGGCTTTGGATGGGTGCAGCTCCAGCCATTGCTAGTTGGGGAGTGGAAGACCTCTCTCTGCCTCTCCCCTCTGTGTAACTCTGACTTTCAAATAAATATTTATTTATTTATTTTGAAGGTCAGAGTTACAGAGACAGAGGGAGAGGAAGAACAAGAGCTTCCATCTGATGGTTCACTCTCCATATTGCTATAACAGCCAACACTGCACCAGGCCAAAGCCAGGAGCCAGAAGAAGCTTCATTCAGGTATCCCACATCAGAGGCAGGGGCCCAAACACTTTGGCCAACTTCTGCTGCTTTCCCTAGACCACTATCAGGGAGCTGGATTAGAAGTGGAGTGGCAGGGACACGGCCCAGTGCCCACATAGGGTACCAGCATCACAGTTAGCAGCTTTACATGCTACACCGCAATGCCAGCCCCTATACTTGTATTTTAAAATACCCCCAAAAGTAAAATTGCATGCACTGAGAACTAATATTCTAAAGGATATACATTATGGAGAAGGAAAATAACCTTAAAAGAATACTTGAGAAACAAGAAGGAAAAATGATAAAGGAGGGGGAGTTGCATTGGGTAAAAATAAATTTTTTCTACAAAATAATTATAAATAATAAATTGCCAACATAAATATTATCTACAGCATAATTTTATTACTGTAATTTTTGGGGGGGGGGGGCCAGCGCTGTGGCGTAGTGCCTAAAACCACCACCTACAGTGCCAATATCCCATATGGGCGCCGGTTTGAGACCCAGCTGCTCCACTTCTGATCCAGCTCTCTGCTATGGCCTGGGAAAGCATTAAAAGATGGCCCAAGTCCTTGGGCACCTGCACCTGTGTGGGAGACTGTGAGGAAGCTCCTGGCTCCTGGCTTCAGATCAGCTCAGCTCCAGCCATTGCAGCCAATTGGGGAGTAAACCAGCGGATGGAAGACCTCTCTCTCTCTCTCTCTCTCTCTCTCTCTCTTTCTTTCTCTGCCTCTCCTCTCTTTGTGCAACTCTGACATTCAAAATGTCAAAAAAAAAAAAAAAAAAACTCAACCTCAAGTGTTTTTTTAAAAAACTCTAATTTTTGAAGGTTAAAATGTATAGAACTAAGACTCATGGACCTACAGTGAAACCACAAATATAAAATACCAACAATGAATTTGGGAAAAGTATTCAATAACTCTTAAGACATTGTTATCATTATTACCCATTTTTTTTTTTTTTTTTGACAGGCAGAGTTAAACAGTGAGAGAAACAGAAAGGTCTTCCTTCCATTGGTTCACTCCCCAAATGGCGACTACGGCTGGCGCGCTGCACCAATCCCAAGTCAGGAGCCAGGTGCTTCCTCCTGGTCTCCCATGCAGGTGCAGGGCCCAAGCACTTGGGCCATCCTCCACCGCCTTCCCAGGCCACAGCAGAGAGCTGGACTGGAAGAGGAGCAACCAGGGTACCGGCACCGCAGGAGGAGAATTAGCCAAGTGAGCTGTGGTGCCAGCCTATTACCCATTTCTAAAACCTTTAATTTCATATCACTTATTCCTAAATACAGATATACACTAAACATTTGCTAGTTTTGTAGGTTTACAATGTTTACCTTGCTGTAGCTTTAGTTTCTTTGAAGATTTTTTTCAAATGTCTATTATTTTTTAATGGTTTGTCTTTTTTTAAGATTTATTTGTTTATTTGAAAGGTAGAGTTACAGAGAGGCAGAAGCAGAGACAGAGAGGTGTTCCATCTGCTGGTTCATTCCTTAAATGGCTGCAACATCTGGAGGGGGGCTGATTCAAACCCAGGATTCAGGAGCTTCTTCCAGG